AGCCAGATTCAAGAAAAATTAGAATAGACTATTGTCAAAGTAGCTACAAAAATGTTTAGATTCTGCAGTTAGTTCCTGGAGGAACAAGCCACACTTTGAGCAGTACAAATTTAAGGACAGAAAGGCATTTCATGAACATGAAGCCCAGTATAAAATATAATTGTTGCCGATCAACTAATGAACTCCCCAGGTTCAATCAACTGCAAGGGAGAGGTATAGTCAAGTGGTACAAAACACAATTGGGGCAGGAGCTTTGGTGGAAACATTTCCTGTAGAAAGGTGAGAGACATGTGGAAGAGTATAAAAGGAACACACACTTTGTTTGCTGGTGTTTGCTAGGTTCCCCGCCCCTCCCCCCCCCCCCCCCCCCCCCCGGCCTTTTTTTTTTTCTTTGCTGGTACTGGGGCTTGAACTCAGGTCCTAGGCACTTTCCCCCCAGAACTGCTTTTGCTCCAGGCTAGGGCTCTACCATTCTAGCCACAGTACCCCTTCTGGCTTTTTGTGAGTAATTTATTAAGAGTCTCAACAGATGTTCCTGCCTGGGCAGACCAGCGATCATCAGATCTCTATCTCCTGACTAGCTAGAAGTACAGGTGACCAGTGTGGAGCTGCCCTTTTACATTTAAAAAGCAAATGCAGCTCAGGTTCAGCACCCAGGCCCCAAGTTCAAGACCCAGGTCGAGCAAAAGAAAAAAAAAAGATGTGCACTTAGTCACTACCTTGAATGCAATGATGACCAAAGATGCTTTCAAGAGGTTCACTGTACAAAACTTCTCATAGATTAAAAATTTCTATTTAGCCACATACAGGAAAAAAAAAATTCAAAACCCTACAAAAATCGTTTTTACTTAAAATTTTGGTTGTTGGTTGTGTGGCTTGAACTCAGGCCTTGACATTGTCCTTGAGTGGGCAGTAGAGCTCTTGTGCAAGGCTAGCACTCTACCACATTGAGCCACAGCTCCACTTCCTGTTTTCGAGTGGTTAATTAGAGATGGGTCTCACAGGGACTTTTCTGCCAGGGCTGTCTTTGAATTGCAACCCTTAGATCTCAGCCTTCTGAGTAGCCAGGATTACAGGTGTGAGTCCCTGGTACATGGCTAAATTTTTATTTATAATCAATGTGTTATACTTTCAACTCATCAAAATCTCCAAATTACTCTTATGAGTAATTTTTTTTTGTTTTTTTTGGGTCCGGTTGTGGGGCCTGAACTCTGGGCCTGGGCGCTGTCCCTCAGGTCTTCAGCTCAAGGCTAGCGCTCTACCACTTGAGCCACAGCGCCACTTCCGGCTTTTTTCTTTATGCTTATGTGGTGCTGAGGAATTGAACCCAGGGCCTCATGCATGCAAGGCAAGCGCTCTACCACTGAGCTATCTTCCCAGCCCTCTTATGAGTAATTTTTCTTTTCTTTTCTTTTTTGTGGTGCTGGAGATGGAATCCAGGGCCTATGCTAAATACATTTTGTACCTCTGAGCTACACCCAAGTCTACACTGAGTGGGCTTCCTTGGTATAGGACATTTCCTTTTATGGGCCTTATCATCAATCTTAGTCCTGGCACCTAATACAAGAAACATCTACCAATATATGTATTTTAAAATATATCCTTTTGTGCCAGTGCCAGGCATTGAACTCAGGGTCTCAAATTCTAGCTTTTTTGTTCAAGGCTGGTTCTCTACCACTTGTCACACTTCTACTTCCAGCTTTTTGCTGGTTAATTGAAGGATCTCATAGACTTTTCTGCCCAAGCTGGCTTTGAACTGCGATTTTCAGATCTTAGCTTCCTGAGTAGCTAGGATTAGAGGTGTGAGCCACCGGAACCTGGTGTGTGTGTGTGTGTGTGTGTGTGTGTGTGTGTGTGTGTGTGTGTGTGTGTGTGTGTGTGTGTGTGTGTGTGTGTGTGTGTGTGTGTGTGTGTGTGTGTGTGTGTGTGTGTGTGTGTGTGTGTGTGTGTGTTGCTCCTGGGTCTTGAACTTAGGGCCTGAACACGGTCCCTGAGCTTTTTTTTTCATGATTTTTTTAAATTGTGAAAATACCATACAGAGGGGTTATAATTACATGAGCAGCCGGGTGCTGGTGGTTCACGCCTGTAATCCTAGCTACTTAGGAGACTGAGATCTGAGGATCGCAGTTCAAAGCCAGCCCGGGCAGGAGAGACCGTGAGACTCCTATCTCCAATAAACCACCAGAAAACCGGAAGTGGCGCTGTAGCTCAAGTGGTAGAGTGCTGGCCTTGAACTGAAGAGCTGAGGGACAGTGCCCAGGCCCAGAGTTCAAGCCCCACGTCCGACAAAAAAAAAAATTACATGAGCAAGGTAATGAGTACATTTCTTATCAAGCATTGATGCCTCTTCCTTTGTTTCTCCTTCCCATCCCTTCCCATCTTCCCCACCCCCCTCTGGTCCCTAGGCTTTTTTTGCTTAAGGGTAGCACTTACCACTCTACCACTTGAGCCACAGCTCTACTTCTGGCTTTTGGGTGGTTAATTGGAGATATGACTGACTTTCCTGCCCAGGCTGGCTTTGAACTATGATCCTCAGATCTCAGCCTCCTGAGTAGCTTGGATTATAGGCATAAGCCACTGATGCCTTGCATAAATTATTTTTTTTGGTAGGATCTCCCTATATGGTCCAGACTGGTTTCAATCTCAGAATCTTCCTGCCTCTGGCTTCTGAGTGCTGAGATTACAGAAGTATGCTTTGCTAGTCTGCCTGCACAGGCTATGAAAGCCACATTATTTGCTCCCTCCTGTCCCTATCCTCATTACATAATTCATGTTTTTACATAATGTACATTAAATATGACTATATTTGCTCACCCTTCCTCTCTCCCTCCATTCCTGTACTCTCCTCTCCCACTCCCAAAATGTGTTTCTACTTCTTGGCATTTGTTTTTTTTTTTTTTTGGGTCCGGTTGTGGGGCCTGAACTCTGGGCCTGGGCGCTGTCCCTCAGCTCTTCAGCTCAAGGCTAATGCCCTACCACTTGAGCCACAGCGCCACTTCCGGCTTTTTTCTTTTTGCTTATGTGGTGCTGAGGAATTGAACCCAGGGCCTCATGCATGCAAGGCAAGCGCTCTACCACTGAGCCACCTTCCCAGCCCCTTGGCATTTGTTTTGATAAACAAAACATTAGTTGTTCAAGAGTTATGCCTTTGGATTCTTCCTCCAAGTATAACCTCCTTCAGTCAGTTTGTGACCATATATTTTTTTTTTTTTTGGTTATTATAAAAGTAATGTATAGGTGGGCGTTATGTTATGTAAGGCAGTAGAGGACATTTCTTCTTGGACAATGTCACCTCTTCCCTAACTCTCTCTGGTCACTACCCACAAGTTGTATAGTTCATTTTCAACACAGTGTCTCTAGATTTCTGTGCCACTCTTTACCCTTCTGAAAACACGTAAATGAACAAACAAGACAATAAGAAAATGCAAACAGCAACAAAGAATAAACCTCTCATTTCCATTTCCTGGAGTTCATTTTGATAATGACTTTATATGATCAGATGCACATAGGCATTGTGTCTTTGTGTTTTTTTTTTTTTTCCTTCTAGACCTGGGGCTTGAACTCAGGGCCTGAGCTCTGTCCTTAAGCCTCTTTGTGCTCAAGGTTACCGCTCTACCACTTGAGTTATAACACCATTTCCAGCCTTTTCTGATTAGTTTATAGGAGATTAGAGTCTCATGGACTTTCCTGTCTGGGCTGACTTGGAATGAACTGTGATCCTCAAATATCAGTCTCCTGTGTGGCTAGGATTACAGACTGGAACCCAGCTGTGTTCCTCTTCTGAGTATCCTCCTTTGGTCTCACTGTTTGTGAATGTATAGCGTCCTATGTTATCATGTCCTAGTATATTTTCAATCCAGCTTCCATATGAAAGAAAACATGCACTTTTTTTTTTTAATAAAAGACAGATTCTATGTCACCCAGGCTGGACTTGTACTTGTAATCCTCCTGTTTTAGTCTTCTGAAGGCTGGGATTACAGGACAGACGCATTATAAATTTTGTAATTTTCTCTTCTTGTTGTTTCTAGATATATGTTTATTTTCATTTCAAAGACAATATAGAGGGCATGGCTCAGCAGCAGGGCATCTGCTGAGTGTGTGTGCATGGCCTTCTGGGCACTGGTGGCTTGCGCCAAGCTTGCACCTAGTTAACTCAGGAGGTTGAGAGCTTAGAATCATGATTGAAAAGCAGCTAGAACAAATTTGTGAGACTCATAGCTCCTTAACCAACAAAAATAAGGAGGAGGTGTGGCTCAAACGGTAGAGCAATAGCTTTGAGTGAAAAAGCTGAGCAAGAGGATAGGCTGAGTTCAAGCCCCAGTATTTGCATGTGTGCACATGTATGTACGCATGCATACACACACATGCACACACACAAAGCCAACCTAGCCTTGAGTTTTAGCCCTAGTACTGGCATACATACCACACAATTCTGTAATTTTTGTCGGTCTTGGGGCTTGAACTCTGGGCACTGTCCCTGAGCATTTTAGCCCAAGGTGAGTGCTCTGTTACTTGAGCCACAGTGCCACTTTTGGTTTCCTGTGGTTAATTGGAGATAAGAGTCTCATGGACTTTCATGCCCAGGCTGGCTTTGAACCTCAATCCTCAGATTTCAGCCTCCTGAGTAGCTTAGATTACAGTCTTGAGCCACTGGCGCCTGGCTTAGTTTTGTAATTTTCTTTCTATAGAAACATACCTGAGTAGGGGAGGGAAGGGATAGTGGGAGAACAACAAAGGAGGGAGTAACAAGACTCGACAAGAAATGTACTCATTGCCTTCCTCATAACTGTAGCCCTCTGTACAGCATCTTTACAATAAAATAAGATTTAAAAAAAGAAAAAAAAAGGAACATACCTGAGAACTTGCCAAATGGTATGTTTTCCCTGCTGTGGACCAATGATATTGCTGGAAACGAACTCAAGGCTTCTTAATTTATTTCACTCTTGTGTCAAAACAAAACAAAAAACAAACCCAAACTCAACACAGTATTGTACAGTTTATGAGGGCTGCACTTTTATTAAAAAACAAGCAAACATCTCTGACATACCGACTGCTTTCATTTACATTTCTGTCTGTAGGCATGGCATCAATACAGACTCAACAAAATCCATTAACACCAAAATTAAGTGGTAGGTGCTAGCATTGTGGTCTGAGGGTAAAGGACAAGAGGCTATCAGACTGCTTTACTGTTCTCAACACTGTCGGTTTACAGATCCAAGCAGTTTGGTTCCTTGTAAGAGTGCTGGGAACAAGGGCCTCAGCTAGGCTGCTCTGAACTTTACAGAACAGAATTTCAATCCAGAGTGCCCATCTATCTCTATCAAGCAGGTCTAATTGGAAAGACAGCTGGCAAAGGCCAGAGCTTAACAATGAGAACCAAGATTCTGTGCCACATCATCCAATTGCACTGTGCCCTGCCTTACTGTGGGCTTGATCTCAGCCAGACATGCTCAGCAAATGATTCCTTCTCACCTGGGCAAAGACAGAGGACCAACGCAAACAATCTAACTCCTACTTCTCCCTTTCCATACTCTGTCAGCAACATGGTATTAAGTTTCTGCTAAGGTCAGTGGTTCAATTACATCTTGTGAACTTCTGTATTAAGAGGGCAACTTTTAAAGATTTCCTCCCAGAACCTCAGAATCTACCTTTTTGAGAGATATGGGGCTCACACACTGAACCACAGCAAGAGTCATATATGTACATATGTGAAAGTAGGTAATTTCAACACGCAAGGAAGAGTGGCTAAGTTTGTTGCTTTGCTTTACATCAGAATGCCTTTGAAAACTTTGTGAAACACCCAAGCGTCAGCTTTCAAAGCAGCAACTGAAACCTCCAAGACAGTCTAATAAAAAACACAGGTTTCTGAATATGCAAAAGTCAGTAGAAAAATCAACCAGGTGACGTCCATTACAGCAGTGACTTCAAAATCTGTTTTAAAAATAGAAACCCTGTTAAATAGCGGAAGCATCTCACCTGCTGTGCTCCTCAAGCATGTGCTGTGTCTGTAAATGACTCAACTGAGAAGGCAGGTGCCTCCAATGCTCACCTCCAACAGGGTCCTTCACTAGCTCCTGCAGCCACAACCGATCCGCTGTCTACATACATAGAAAAATATATACATTTGGATACAAACACTTTTTTTATTTTTGAAGCCTAGGCTGGCTTGGATCTCAAGTCTTGGGAGTGCTGGGATTATGGGCATGTACAACAGACAGGTTTCTCACAGACTCTTTTTAGGACAATGATTGTGAGGAAAGAACAGTTAGCAGGGTGAAGGAAAAACAACTTTAAGAACATTCAATTAATTAATTTTCCCACTATGGCCCTGGCAAAGCCCTGGGTGAACATATGAGGTATGGAGCAGCAGCCTTCAAGTTCCAGGAACACTGGAAGCTTCTGGGTGTTTGCTACCTCCAGAGATAACGATTCTTTAAGCCAAGAGTGGGCTCAGGAATCCTGCTTGCCTGACTGAAGCCACAGACACCTGCAGGGAACACCCTGTGAACCAGGGATGATCTGAGGGAGGAGGGGAACTTTTTGAAAAGCAAGACCAGAGCAGCCACTCTGTCTCACTGAGGAACAGGGACCTTCATCAGATTGGGACAGTAAAAAAAAACTATTTTTCCTTTTGAATTTCTAGATTAAAAAAATAAATTTACTTAACATTCCATTGTCCTAAATTGGGTAGAATTAAAAAAAAAAACAGATTAACCTCATCCCTCAAAAAACATTTCTGAACATAAAGTGCTGGTTTTTGCTTCAGTTATCATTATTTTGAAGAAAAAAAACCACATACACAAAACCTTTTCTATTGACTCTTTTGGCCACATTTTGTACTTGGGCCTATATTAGCATGTAAATTAATAACTTTTAAAGTCACCTACATAGTGCAAATTAAAAATTGCATCATATACATGAGAAACAATTTTACTTTCTATTACAAATGCAAACTATTTGTCTTTTGACATGCTGGTAGTACTCACTTTTACTGCACAAAAAGGTCTGTGATTTCTGAATCACAGTCTATATTATAAATCTAAGCTGTCAAATGTATTTCAAAAAACAAATACTTTTTTTGACATACCCTAAAAAAATAAAAATAAATACTTTGAACTATAAAATTTTTACAAACATTAGCAACATTAAGAGTTCATAGCTAGTTGTTTCAGAAAACCTAAAATTACGTAATCTTACAACTTATATTTTAAACAGAAGTCTCTGACTTCCATGAACCATAACAAAGCACTAAAAATTTCATCATCTACCTAAGAGATCCGTAAGAGCTGCCAGGTATTCAGTGTGGAAGCCACTATGTTGATGAGAAGGAATGTGTTGGACTAGTGAAAGATGCGAGAAATGTGAAGACAAAGACGTACAATTTACTTCAAACATTTCTTCCTGAGAATGTAAGTTATTTTTTTAATATCAGGACAATTTAAAATGGGACAAAAGCTTGTGAATTATTTCATAAAAAGTTACTGGTCATATAAACAATTATTACCTTAACATGTAACTTGCAAACATGAAGTTCTACAAACTGTATTTATTTAAACAAGGCACATGCCTAGTTATCTGCAATGCTGGGTAAACTAGTGCCTAAAAATATGAGTAAATTTTGCTAAAACAATGGTATGATTTATGACATAGTGTTCTGAAATAATTTTCCTAAATAAAAACTAATCTGAACAAATGAATAAGACAACAGAAAAACCTGATGGTCAGTAGGGGGAAAGAGTCCACTTCATTGGATTATAATTGAAAATAATTGTTTCAATAAATAGATATGTACATGAACTTGTTCTAAATCCAGTGTAGCAATACAGTACAGTAGTTTCAGTAGTTTAAAAAAAAAACTATGTAGTTGTTTTATATGAATACTGACATCCTAAATTATTTACTTTGCTTCCACTACAAATTAGCACTACCAATCAGAGGTATGACCTTTGGCAAAGTGAATTTAACAGTGATATATATATATAACAATTTTGATCACAAACGAAAGCTTGATTTTGCTGAAAATATGATCAGCTCATAAAAGAAAATCCATGAAACTGTTCCATCACCACCACTGTGGATATTCCCTGCGAAAGCTTTATAAAAAGCCAAAAACAACTTCCTTATCAAAATCATTCCAGACTAGAATTTGGCATGACTTATGGAGATCTGGAAGAAGTTAACTTAGCAAGATAAGCCGTTTAATGTAACATACCCCTTACTACTTAAGTGGTCCTTTTTGAAACACTGCTTGGGCCTGAGGTGACTCAAATAAAAATTCATGGCAATTCATGGATAATACATTCATACTGGCCCCTTACATGTTTTGGGGAATGTATTATCATCTTTAGAGATTAAAATCATGAAAGGTCACCAAGCTTACAAATTGGCATTTGTCAGAAAAACAAAACTGGACACCCAGTGAGTGTGCCTAATCAGAAAAACAAAACTGGACACCCAGTGAGTGTGCCTAACTGTATAAGCAGGCTGGCTGAAAACAGCAGAGGAGCACTCTCTAATGGACAGTCGTAGAATTGCCTGACTTTCAGCAGGGAAACAAAGTTTGCAGTTAACCTTCCAAAAGAAGTTTGTCAGTGCCACAAAAGACTTGTCAGAATTAAATAATAATTTCAGTTACTTGGTCAAAAGAATAAATTTTTATCTGATGGTGGCTAGAACTTATGTGACCAGTTGAACTTATTAAATAAAGCTGTATGATATGTGTAAACAAAAACACAAGTATCATGCCACAGGTAAATAATAAATAAGTTCAAAATATATCTCTATCTATTTTAAAATAAATATATAAAGTTTCAGCAGAGGTTTCTGTCCACTTACCTCCCCAAGGCAGAAATTCTGTTAAGTGCTTCACATAGAAAAAAAACTATTGGATTTCAAAGTACTACAAGATCACTGAATGCTAAAAACATGCATCAGCCTTGAACTTTTTTTTTCTGAGCAACTAATCTGACTAGCAAGGTTCCTTTAAGCATATAGTTTTTTCATTGTTGGCACAGCCTTTTAGTCAAGAAAAATTGGAGAACCGTTATACCTGAAGTGCTCTAAATCTTTGGCTGGGGTGCTCAGTGGTATGAACAATGCTTAGCATAGGAACAGCTGGGCTTGATCTCCAGTGACACTATAAAAAAGTGCTCTCAATCTTATTTTAGACCAATTATCCTACCCAGTTTTTCTTTTTTTCTGTTTTTTTTTTTTGTGGTACTAGTACATGCACTCAGGATAGTTCTCTTTGGATACAAAAAAAGATGTTGGGGGAGGGAAGGGATAGCTCAGTGGTAGAGCACGTGCCTAGAATTCCTTCTCCATGAGGACTAGAGTTCAATCTCTAGTACTACTGAAAAGAAAAAAAGGATCCTGAATATCAATTCAACATGGTTATTTAGAGGGTTAACAAAACATCTCAAGAGTCTAAAAATGACTTCAGAAGTTTTCAGAATTGTCATACTTTGACATTGCTCCTTCAGGGAGTTCCTGGATCCATTCAGATTGGGCTGTGAGAAATCTGAAGAGGCATGCTACAGGAGGATGCCCCATCTTAACCTTGCTGGTTTAACAGACATCATTTCCAAGTTAATGGTAAAGTGTTACCATTCAAAGTTAAGAGGGAAATGATCTTTCCACTCATATCCTTCCATCAAATGTGTGGCTCAACAGTAAGGAATGAAACAGTGCAAACAAACTTCAGTGAGCCCCACTCTCAAAAGCATTTTGTCTCCATGTAACTTTCTGTGATGTTTTCAAAGTTAGTAATATATGATCAAAGTATCTTGTTGAAAAAAAGAACAGCTGTTGTAGTTACAGGACATCTGGCTGTTTGGGAATGCTATTTACATAAATGTGTGCCCATTGTACTCTGAGGAAAATTAGGACTGAATAGCAGCTGGAGAAGCTCTACTTCTGGATGCTCATGCATCTGCATATTTGTGCAGATGCTGTGCTAGCAGAACAGTTCATTTCTTTATGCAGTTACTCAGCTTCCTTTATGTCCTCTTGATCTGAAGCACTAGAGATGTCTTCGTCTGTTTGTTCTCCAGAGAAATAGAGCATCAAAGCGTGTGTTTTATGAGTTATGGTGACAGTGCAGGGTCCTTGGGCCCACGGCTCCCCATCTACTTGCATTGGCATCATTGAGCACTTCAAAATCAGCTGAAATCAGGAAACAAAAAATTAGAAAAGTCAGTTCCAGGAAAGTAAAGTCTGCCTTACTAGTATGATCCACATGGTCACTAACCTTTCTGCATTTCAGCTTTTTTCTTTTTTTGGTCGGTCATGGGGCTTGAACTCTGGGCCTGAGCGCTGTCCTTGAGTTCTTCAGCTCAAGGCTAGCGCTCCACCACTTGAGCCACAATGCCATTTCCCATTTTCTGGTGGTTAATTAGAGATGAGTCTCATGGACTTTCCTGCCCAGGCTGGCTTTGAACTGTGATCCTCAGAGCTCAGCCTCCAGAGTAGCTAGGATTACAGGTGTGAGCCACAGGCTGCATTTCATCTTTATAAAGTTAATCTGACTGTGTTTTTATTTATGGATTGTTTAGTGACTCTTTTCTAGCCAACACTTATTTCTTCAGCTGGACTGAGGGCCATGCTTCCCATTTCTTCCTTCCTCACTAAAGTCCCAGCAAAATGACCAGCACATGAGCCTTCTATGTATCTGTGGCTTGGTAGTGAACTGGGAACACTGGCCTGTTATGACATTGTTTCACCTACCCTCACTGTATGCGCCTGTCCTATTCGAAAAGGGTTTGCCAGCTTCACCTGAATCTGAGCACAGTGGAAAGACCCATACACACCAACGACTTCCAGCAACCCGTCATCATGCCTAACATTGGAAGAGGAAAACATGAATTATATGGTGGGGCAAAATGAAGTCAACCATGGAATGGCAGTTACTTTTTTTTAAATAAAATATTGATGTTAATGAAATATATAGAAGTGAAAATCTAAAGGAAAACTGTGAAAGTCATATAAAGAACAATACATGCTTTAATGAAAACTGACATAAGACTGAAGTGAGGCAAATGACATACTCCTGTAATCCCAGTACTTGGGAGGCTACAGCAGGAGGATCTTGAATGTGAGGACACTTGGGACTGAGTTCCAGTCTGGGCTATAAGGAAAACTGTTTCAAACAGAATAAACCAACAAACAAACTAGAGTGCAAATACACATACCTGGCTAAAGGGTAAGTCTCATCTCCCATCCCTTCCCAGAGTCTGCAGCCACCGCCCCAGTAGCCAATATTCAGAACAATAATACCTTCCAAATTAGGCAGCTCGACTTGCTCACCATCCAGTTCTAGCTTTAAGGAAATAGAAGCAGTTATTTAGTACAGAGCACACTATTTCCACACATACCTGCCTGCAATTCACACCCACTTTCACACATGTTTACAGAACATATGAGAGATGAATGAGTAGAGGACTCCTTCCATCTTGCTCCAGGTAATCTAGACTTCCCCTCCTCTACAGTGGAATTATTCTTATCAAGACATCAATGATGTCCTTCTTGCTAAATTCCCCTTCTCCCCTGCAGTCTGGGGGCTTGAACTCAGGGCCTGTGTGCTGTCCTTGAGCTTTTTCACTCAAGGCAAAAACTATTCTTGGAGTCACAGCACCACTTCTGGTTTTCTGGTGGTTAATTAGAGATGAGTCTTTTGGAGTTTCATGCCTGGGCTGGCTTTGAACTGCAATCTTCAGATCTCAGCCTCCTAAGTAGCTAGTACTGAAGGTGTGAGCCACCAGTACCTGGCTTTTGCTAAGTCTTTTTATTTACTCCCCGCTCTTTTTTTTTTTTTGGTAACAAGATACTGCTATGTAGTTCAGGTTGGCCTTGCAAGACCCAAGATCCTCTTGCCTTATTAGCCTCTTGCGTGTTAGGATCACAGGCACTACGCTACCTTGTGTGGCTAAATCCCAGCATTTTTTCTTGTACCTCCTATTTCAGTGGTACCTGACCCTGCTGCCCCTCCCTGTTCTTCTTTGCTTGTGGGACTTCACACTGCCTCTGCATGCTCCTCGGTCACTACTGGCAGCTCCACTCCTGCTTTGTGTAGGAAGCATTCTTCATAGCTGGGCAGCAAGCTCCATTTTCTCTCATGCTGCTGACTCCGAATACTGTCAACTGCTATCTCTGCACTCATCTTCCTGGTGTAGGAAAGTGACCTGGGCCAGATTCACCCACACAACTCTCCAGAGCACTGACTCGACTGTGCCATCCAACACTCTCATGGGCGAAACAGTCAAGAAGCTATTCCCCAACCTGCTATTCAGAAAATAGCAGGATAGTCCCTTAGCTCCCCAAGCCCTCCAACTGGGCATTATCTTCACCTTGTTCCACCTAAAAACAGGTGATGCTCCTTCTATGTCTCTTTCCTGACTTTAGCTTGGTTTTGGTGCAGAACCATCATCTCTTCCCTAACTGTGCTGAGCCTGTTTCCGCTAGCCTTACTCTCTTTTTAGACACCCTTGTACAGCAGTTGGAACGATACAGTGGAACATGGCATTTTCTCATTCAACCCTTCAGGGCTGGAGGTATGGCTCAAGAGAGCAACTTCCTAGCAAGTGTAAAGTCCTGACTTCAAACCCCAGCATAGCAAAAAAAAACAAAAACAAAAACAAAAAAATCCCCCCCAAAACCAAACAACAACAAAAAAGAGAGCAAGCAAAAAAGAATAAACAACCCGGCCATGGTCATGCCAAGTTCCAAGTTCCTTAACACGGGGGGTATGACCTGCTGCGACTTGGCCTCTGTCCATCTTCCTGTTCCTATCTCCAGCATCATTAGCTCCAGCCATTTTCCTCCTAGCAAGCTAAGCTTCAGCTGAGCGCTCTCCAGAACTTCCTGTGTCCCTTGCCTTGGGCTGTTCACACAAGCTGTTTTTAGCCTAGAACTCCAGTGTTCCTCTCTTCTTCACTTGGCTCTTGCTTAGCTTCTCACTCTAGAAACATTTCCACATTACTGTCATACTTCCTAGACAGTCTGTGTTATGTATTTATTTATTTTTTTGTGGTAGTGGAGATTGAACCCAGAACCTCAAGCATGTAAGTAAATGCTCTAAACTGGCTCCCCTTCCCCACTAACATTTGAGTTTGAGATAGGATCTCACTAAGTTGCCCAGCCAGCTTCAACCTCCCAATTCTGCCTTCAGCTTTGGCTGGGACTACAGGCATGTACCACATACTGTCCTCATCAGATCACTTCTCATTCTGTGTTGCAACGTGGTTTAAGTACTTTGCTTCTTCCTAGCTATAAACTTAAGAGAGAGTACGTTTTATATTTTTATTTTACCTATTTGTTTATTTGCGACAGAGTCTCACTAAGTAGTTAAGACTGACCTTAAACTCACAATCCTCCTGAGTGCTGGGATTACAGATGTGCATCACCAGGCCTAGGTAAGAGTAAGGGCTTTACCACCCATCTCTAATACTTAGGACAGTGTCAGACATTTTGCAGGCAGTTTCACAAACAACTTTTTCTTTTTTGCCGGTTGTGGGGCCTGAACTCTGGGCCTGGGCGCTGTCCCTCAGCTCTTCAGCTCAAGGCTAGTGCTCTACCACTTGAGCCACAGCACCACTTCCAGCTTTTTCTCGTTATGTGGTGCTGAGGAATTGAACCCAGGGCCTCATGCATGCAAGGCAAGCGCTCTACCACTGAGCCACCTTCCCAGCCCCTCACAAACAACTTTTGAATAAATTAAATAACAGAAAATAAAAGAAGGGCCATGTTATGATTTATCCTATTGACAGTATCAAAGTCTCCCCCCCCCCAAAAAAAGAAATTATGATAAAGTAGCATAAAACTTTCACAATGCCAGGTATGGTAGCACACGCCTATAAACCTAGCACACTCAAGGCAAAGGCAGGAGGATGCTGAGTTCCATATTAGCTTGGGCTACAAGGATAAATCATGTTTTTAAAAACCAAGGGCTGTGGATGAAGCTCAGTGGCAGAGAGCTTGCTTAGCATGCATAAGGACCTGGGTTCATCCCCAGCACTACAAAGTGATTTTATGGAGGATATTATCCCTTCTCTGGGTGAGGACTAACAAAGGCTTTCAGTGGCTGGAGGGCAGCCAGATTTCCTCTACTAAAGTTTGACTAGTTTGGGCTTTCTCCAAAATCTTTTTAGTTGGTATCACAACTAGAGAATTTTCCGAGGATGTTTTGTGTCAGTTCTGAGGCTTGAACTGTGTATATATGTGGGGGCTGTCCCTAAGCTTTTGTGATCAAGGCTAGCACTTTACCACTTAAGCCACAGCTCTACTTCTAGCTTTTTGGTGGTTAACTGGAGATAAGAAACAATCTCATGAACTTTCCTGCTTGGGCTGGTTTCTAACCATAATACTCAAATCTCAGTCTCCTGAGTAGCTAGGATCACAGGCCTGAGCCTCTGGCGCCCAGCTCTTCTGAGGTTTAAAACTCAGGGCCTAGTGCTTGCTAGGCAGGTGTTCTACCACTTGAACCATTCTTCTAGTCTCTTTTTGTGTTGCTTATTTTCTTAATTAAAAAAATTAAGTTGTACAGAGTTGTACAGAGGGGTTACAATTCCATAAGTCAGGTAATGAAGACAGTTCTGCTTGGACAATGTGACCCCTCCCTTCACATCCCCGCCTCCCCCCCATTTCCTCTCCCATCCCTGTCCAAAAGTTGTTGCATAGTTCTTTTTTTAGGGGGGTGGTGGTCATGGGGCTTGAACTCTGGGCTTGGGCACTGTCCCTCAGCTCTTCAGCTCAAGGCTAGTGGTCTACCACTTGAGCCACAGCACCACTCCTGGTTTTCTGGTGGTTAACTGGAGATAAGAGTCTCATGGCCTTTCCTGCCTGGGCTGGCTTTGAACAGTGTTCCTCAGATCTCAGCCTCCTGAGTAGCTAGGATTACAGGTGTGAGCCACCTGCACCTGGCACATAGTTCATTTTTTACATAGTATATATTGAATACTATGACTACATTTATTCACTGCATTTATTCTAGAAATTACTGATCCCCCCTACCCAGCTGAACTGCGACCTTCCTATCTCTTCCTCCCGAGTAGCTAGGATTAAGACTTCAGACAGAGTCTTTGTTGGAACAAGCAAGAAATATATTCAAGATTTTGCCATATCACAATGCTAAGAATACTGTAGCAATAAGCAATCACAATATTCTGTTTAGGTATAATTTAATATACTGTTCAAGATATTGTTTATACTTTTAGAATATAGAGATGTCATACAAAATAATTTGAATTACACTCTATATTTAAATGCCTATTGAGTACACATGAGTCAGGCACTGTATTAGACAACTTGAAATTTGCTATCTTTCAATATGTAAATTAAGCAAATTCTGGAGTTAGATAATTCTAGGTCCAAATCCTGATCTAGCTGCCTGTGGACTCTGCTTCAAACTGTTTATCTTGTCTGCATAATGAGACTATAATAATATTTGCTTTAAGGGGTTGTGGTAAGAATTCAGAGGAAAAAATGAGGACAAAGCACTTAGCAGAGTGTTTGGCACACAAATTCTCCAAATAAATTAGTAAAATATGATAACACAAAATTCAGCATTTGTAAAACCAAAAGTCTTTATTATACAGAAATTACTCTAAAGCTTTAGAAAAGGTGTTAGTAGCTTACCTCAACTTTTTTATTCAAATCTTTACATTCTTGCACCAAACAATCTTTGGTTCCATAGAATAAATAAACAGCCTGAAATATGGATAAAAACATCCTATTAAAATTCCCTCACAAACCCTGTAAACTGTAAGAAAAAATGAGCAAGGCTTCTTGCTTGCCTATTAGACATTGATGGATAGAAGGGGCCCAAGGCTGCTTTTCCTGCATAATTTTTATGGCATGTATCTTTTCCAGTTTAACACTACACCCTGTCACACTACTCATGGCTTAAGAATTGTTGTATGAACTCCGTAACAACTGTCAAAATATTAATCATCTCTCTTTAGAAAGTAACAAAAGCTATCACTCCTTCAGTTAAACTAGATTTTTTTTGGGGGGGGAGAAGGATGTAGCATAGGCAGTTTGTGTTCAAATGGTGATGTTGCCTGATTTATCAAAAAAATATTCATTCTATTAAAAAAAAGAATCTTTTTTTTGTGGTTGTGGGGCTTGAACTCTGGGCCTGGGTGCTGTCCCTGAGCTCTTCAGCTTAAGGCTAGCGCTCTACCACTTGAACCACAATGCCACTTCCGATTTTCTGAGTGGTTTGGGAGATAAGAGTCTCATAGACTTTCTTGCCCAGGCTGGCTTTGAACCTTGATCCTCAGATCTCAGTCTTCTCAGTAGCTAGGATTATAGGCATGAGCCACCGATGCCCGGCAGAAATTTTATTTTGTGGGGCTGGGAAGGTGGCTCAGTGGTAGAGCGCTTGCCTTGCATGCATGAGGCTCTGGGCTCGATTCCTCAGCACCACATAAGCAAAAAGAAAAAAGCCAGAAGTGGCTCTATGGCTCAAGTGGTAGAGCGCTAGCCTTGGGCTGAAGAGCTGAGGGATAGCGCCCAGGCCGAGTTCAGGCCCCACTACTGGACCCCCCCCAAAAAAAAAAAAAAAAAAAAAAAGAAATTTATTTTGTAACTAGAAAATTATACTTTTTCCTAACACTTCGGCTTATTTAAGGAAAATGCAGGTAGCAGGTAACTCTAATAAATAGTATATAATCACTTTTGAGTACAGAAATAATGGCAGAAGTAGTAAAATGCTGAGTTAATAAATGAGTTAGTAAATGCTGAGGTGATAAATGGCAATACTCTGTATTGGCAATATAACTGTATTAAAAATACTTTAAATTCTGAAGTTTACCGAAGAGAACCAGGAATGCAAACCAGGAAACTGTGATTTTCACATGATGTTGCTCAATCACTAAAAGTCATTAAAAAAGTCCTCTATAAACTTCCATTAAAGGAATCAACCATTCTGGAAACCAGGGTGATGACCTTGCTGGGAGCCAGCTGCCCCGTCCCTATCTAATCTGCCTTGGGCAGCTCCTCCACACCAATGGAATGCATGCTATGTCATTAATGACTTAACCAGAAACTTATTTTGCTTAAATTTCTTTCCAATTTTAGTTGCCACTTACAAAAAGTTATCATACATTCCATTTAGTTTTTACCTAAGCAAAATATGCCTTAGAACATCCCAATTTTGAATTTTAAACATTTTGTTATAGTTATTAATAAGATATACTTGAAGACCTAACAGGTTACACAAAACACAACAGGAAGCTATTTCCATAAATTGGTTCAATCTGAATCTAAGAGTGCCAAATATAATTGAACTGTTGATTTTTACTATACCTTCGGTGATAAGCAGGAAATGTAATTTTATCCAACACACCTTATTAAGAATTCTGCTGGAAAACAGAGACGGTGCCTTCTCACGATGAGCATGAAAATTGAGAGCCATGAGAGCATCGGGTCCAATAGAAAAATAGTTGTTCATTGTGAATTCCTGTGGAAGAGAGTGAGGATAAGCAACAGATGATGCTCCTGTATATAAGCTGGTGTCAACCTTCATTATACAAATGTCAGTTCCTATGTTCGTTTTTAGTAGTGAATACTTGAATACTTCCTTTTTTTTTTTTTGTTGGTCATGGGGCTTGAACTCTGGACATGAATGCTGTCTCTCAGCTCTTCAGCTCAAGGCTAGCACTCTACCACTTGAGCCACAGCACCACTTCCGATTTTCTGAGTGGTTTATTGGAGCTAAGAGGCTCACAGAGTTTCCGTTGAATGGTGATCCTCAGATCTCAGCCTCCTGAGTAGCTAGGATTACGGGAGTGAGACACCGGCGACCAGCTGAGTAGTGAATACTTTCTGAATTTAGTTTTTTCAAACATCTATATTTATACTGCCTGTTGAAGTTCCGTAAATAAAGCTTCAGTTCCAAGCTCCTGCTTTCCAATTCTGTACAACATGTCACCTCTTAGACCTTACCATCTAGAGCAGCTCTGATTTTTGTACCCAGGTTTTTCACTCCTGTGTTCTCAATGCTTTTGCTTTCTATCTTCTATCTTTTTTGTGGCTCTCGATCAGTTTCAACAGGCTACTAGTACTCCCTTAGTCTATCCTTCTTCCCAACCTACCTAGATTCCTCAATCTACATGACTTACTATTCTTGTTCTTGACTAAAGGGCCCAAACTTCCAGTTTCTTGTTCAATACTTCATAATTCTTTGTGTTGTATTCCTCAAACCTACCCAAGTCTGAGACGAGACATTCTATTTTTCTTATCTTGGTTAGTGTTTCCACAAGTCAACCATAAAAATTAGAATCTGGTAGCAATATATGTATATATTTGCAGTACTAGGGGCAGGACCTGGGGTCTCACACGTTGAGGCAAGTGAGCCACGACTTGAGCCTGTTTTATGCACCTTAGATTGTTTTTTTAATTTTAAAATTTAAATTCAAAACATCAGCCTCTCTTCCCTTTGCTTGCCCCCAGCTCAATTTTATATGTTTTCTCTCTTACTTTTTATACCAATTAGCTCCCAAAACTTTAAAATGTCTTTGAGTTGTCTAATCCTAAAATTTCCATAGTTTCACTCTGTATAGGCTTCTAGGGTATTTTCACACTATCTTTTAAAAAAACTTTTTAAAACACAGATTTGGGGTGAGGGTGTAACTTAGTGATAGAGTGCTTGCCTGCAAGATGAGTGAGGCCCTGGGTTTGATCTCCAGTACCAAACAAAACCAAAACCACAGATCTCTGTGTTATATTTGTTATTTGCTAATAATCACATTTCACCTTCTTGTCTCTATCCCTCTACCTGGAAAGTCCTTGGCTACCCTTTCTCTGATAATCTATATTGTATTTAAGGACTGCTTCCTGTCTGCAATCATCCCAGGCTGATCTGCACATTGAGACAGAACTAAGTGTACTTGTATTCCGATCTCTCCCACATCATGTTTTATACAGTCCAGCTAGGAGGCTGGGGAAGTGGCTCAGTGGCAGAGTGCTTGCCTAACACAAGATGCTCAGGGTTTGATCCCCAACAACAACAACAAAAAAAGCACAGGAACAACAACAAAGAAAACACCAAATCCAGTCCAGTTAATGAGGTGGGCACATGGGTATCTTTTCTGCTCCATAAGCAGCTGGCTCAAGACCCTAGGTCTCTGAATGCTTCCCAGGTGCTGCTGTGTCTTGTGCAGTGAGCATCCATGAGTGTTCGCAAAACTACTCACAATGGAAGCAATTGGCACATACCTTGGGTTTTCTTAGGTTGTAGTATCCTTTATTTGTTACCTGAACTTTCCATCTAAAAAACAGAAGTATTAAAAAAAAGTCATTTTTGCAATTAAAAACTGTGTTCTGGATGTCTGATGTTTTTCTATTAAAACAGTACTTGAGAAAGTAACCACATTCAGGTAGGTATACAAATTTTGTGGAAGTAGTGAGCATAATTTGTGACTGAACTATATGGAATAACTAAACAAGATGTCAGTATCATGTAACAAATACTATTAATAGTCTTTTACATTTAAACTCATTTTATAGTTAGGCAAGTCTTAATATGTAAACCAAATATCATCCAAGTTCAAGAAATATATATATGTACAAGAAATATATACACATATATGTATATGCATATATATATGCATATATATGTACAAGAAATATATACATATATATATATTTTTTTTTCCTCCCCCAAATTGTAACTTACCGATCTAGTTTGATTCCATCAGCTTCCATTACATTTCTTAAGACCTGTGCAACAGGGATTTCTCCAGCATAACCCGTACCCCAACCCAGGGTATTAGACAGATCGTTGCCTGTTCCCAGAGGCAGGACTGCAACCTGTGGAATGTATTTCTCTTGTCCCTAAAGGATGGGAGATAAATAGTTCAGATTTTTCTCTGTAGACTAGCTGCAGAAAATCTGTAAATTTTAAAGACTACACATGTGTCAACTGTAGACAGTGCTAACTGCTTAATCACAGTATCTCTCTCTCTCTCTCTTTTGCCAGTCCTGGGACTGGAACTCAGGGCCTGGGTGCTGTCTGTGAGCCTCTTTTTCGCTCATGTCCTATCAGTTGAGCCAAAGCACCACTTTTGGCTTTTTCTGAGTAGTTTATTGAAGAGTCTCACAGACTTTCCTGCCCAGGTTGGCTTCGAATTGTGATCCTCAGTTCTCAGCCTTCTGAGTAGCTTGGATTACAGGCATGAGCCACTGGCGCCTGGCTCACAGCACTCATTCTTCTCTATTCTGGAGATGATGTCTGATAGTCACCTGCTTAATAAAAAATACTATGTATCTAACTTAGAAGTGTTTCTGTAGGTTTTTTTCTTTCCTGTGGTGCTGAGGATCGAACCCAGGGCCTTGTGCATAGTAGGCAACTATCTACAGTGCAATCACATCTTCAGCCCCATTATGGTAGTATAGTATTTAAGAGACAAGATACCTTAATCTTCATTTCATCAACTGCATCCAGGACCCAGCCCACAGTCCCATCCCCTCCACACACAAGCACTCGAGCTGAATAATAGGGAAGAAGAGTACAGAGTTGCAGGGCTTTGGTAGGGGGAGTTTTTGTTACATCAAAAACCTAAAAATGAAGAAATAAGAAAAAAATATTTATCCAACATAATCCTCCATCTGAGTACAATCTAGGTTAGTGATATGGTTAAGTAAGGACTTTGTTCCTGTGTATCTACTTTTAATAACAAACCAGGCACAGTGCCAGATTCTATTCACTGTGGCTCATCCCTGTAAACTGACCTACAAACAGGAGTTGACATCATTCTGTTCAGGATGCTGAGGCATAGGAAGGTTATATTGCTTGCTTGTGACTCTGCAGAAAAGTAAATGCTAAAATATAAATTCAAACTAATCTGTTACATTTTACTACCTCTTCCTTTCTACTCACATCAAACCAAAATGGACAAGTTCAATAATTTTTTTTAAAGCCAGAATCAATGTGGCTGAGGCTGGTCTTTAACTTTTGATTCTTCTATCTCACTTTCTCTTATGCTGGGATTACAGGCCTTCACTCCCACGTCTAGCCTAAGCTCACTTTTAGCTAGGGTTGAATACTTACGGTAGGTTTTTTTTGTTTTTTTTTTTTTTAAAATTTTCTCTTACTAGTGTAAATTACTACAAATATCTGAAAATAATTTAGAAAAAAATAAGATGACATAAAAATACCTTTGATACCTTTCAATCTGTAAATGATCCTAGGAAAATATTTCAAGAGACTAAAATGCTCTATGTGTAAGATCCTCAGAGATAGTCACAACCTCTTGTATCAGGAAACTACATGAATACATTATGATGTATCTTTTCAACTATTTAAGTCAGTAGATATATAATTATGAGGACTATATTACAACAGGGTAAATACTGACCACTAAAAAACAGAATGCAGCCAGGTGCTAGTGGCTCATGCCTGTAATCCTAGTTACTCAAGAGACTGAGAGCTGAGGACTGCAGTTCAAATCCAGCCTGGGCAAGAAACTCTTCTCTCCAGTTAACTATTAGAAAACTGGAAGTGGAGCTTTGACTCAAAGTGGTAGAGCACTAGCTTTGAGTAAAAATGCTCATTCATGCTAGGTAAGCATATACTATTGAGCGACACCCTCAATATTCAAAATGCAAAAATCTACAAATTGGAAGGAAAAAAGCTATTACACTTCTGATTATTGCAATAAATGGGTTTCGTTTTCTTATTTTAAAAATCACACAGTATAGCTTTTAAATCATAGAAATCACCCAAAGGTGAACAAATGAAGTTTTTGTAAGTTTGCCTAGCTGTGCAGCTCCCACTGTAATGCCTCAAGATTGCTTTGCTGACATAACCCATTTCTAGACTCAGCCTCAGACAGCCAACAATCCACTCAGCCCCTATGGAATTTCCTTTTCTGGACAGGTCACACAAGTGGAATTAGACAGTTTGTGGTTCTTTGAATCTGGTATTTTTCACTTGTTTCAAAATTCTATTTACTTTATAAACTTGCTTATATCACTGTTATTTTACTTTGTGGGTTCATGAGACTTGTTTATCCACTCACCAAGTGATGAACAGATGAGCTACGTCCACTTTTCAGTTATTAAGAATAATGTTGCCATAAACATTTGCATGCAAGTCTTTGAGGGACATATGTTTTCATTTCCTGTGGGTGTACAATATTCCTGAAACTGGAATGCTAAGTGATAAGGCTTCTGTTTGTTCACATATTTGAGTCACTCAATTCTTTTATAGTTGTTATTCTTGTTATAACTAGGTGATCAGTGATTTTGTGTGTGTGTGTGTGTGCGCCAGTCCTGGGGCTTGAACTCAGGGCCAGAGCACTGTCCCTGAGCTCTGTTTTGTTCAAGGCTAGTGCTCTACCACTTGAGCCACAGCTCCACTTCAGCTTTTTTGGTGATTAATTGGAGATAAGAGTCTCACAAACTTTCCTTCTCAAGCTGGCTTTAAACCTCAATCCTCAGGTGTCAGCCTCCTGAGTAGTTAGGATTACAATTATGATCCACCAACACCTGGTTGTGATCAGTAATTTAAAGCATCAATACCCACTGCGTTTTAGGAAAAATAAAAATATAAAAATGCAAAGATTTATAAAGAAGTTTTTTTTATTTAGTTACCTGGACTGGATTTAACAGGATCCTAAATTCTCCTAATAATCCTTCTCCCATATTAGTTCCACTACGAGAGTTGGCCAGGATTATTAATGGGGTCCATTGCTTTCCAAACTTAGAAGCTAGCTAAAAAAAATTGACATGAGTGAAAGGGTTAACTTTCAGAGATGGAAACACTTTTCAGTTTTTGATAACAATATAAAAATATATAAATTTTTGTTGCAGCAAAAACAACTATATAAAAGTATCAATACAATAATATAAAAATCAAATAATCCTAAGAATGGAAGAGGACCTTAGAATATTATTCTAGGTAAGTCATCTAGCAATATGCTTGGACATTTGGGTTAAAATAAAACTCAGTTAATAAGGTGGCCTGTTCTATTGATATATTAAGTAGATCTGACTTAAACTGAGTTGAACATTTGTCTCTCAATAATTTGTATTAATTGTTCTGTTTCCAAAACAACTAAAATCACTTAGATGACTGCTTTTAAGCACTGGATACATTGTTTAAGATGAATAATCCTTATCTAAATGCTCAGAATCAGGTTTTTTTTTTAGATTGAATATTTGCATATACATGAGGTATCTTATGGATAGTACTGAAGCCCAAACACCAAATTCAGTTGCTTTCTATATACATCCTACTTATAGCATATAGTTCTTTTTTTTTTTGGTTGGTCATGGGGATTGAACTCTGAGCCTGGGCGCTGCCCCTAAGCTCTTCAGCTCAAGGCAAGTGCTCTACCACTTGAGCCACAGCGCCACTTCCAGTTTTCTGGTGGTTTATTGGAGGTAAAAGTCTCATGGACTTTCCTGCCTGGGCTGGCTTTGAAAGGCAATCAGATCTCAGCCTCCTGAGTAGCTAGGATTACAGCCTGAGCCACCGGCGCCCAGCTTGCACGTAGGTAATTTTATACAGTATTTTTAATATGCTTATGTTCTGACCACAAGTTGTCACATGAGGTCAAGTATGGACTTTTCTATTTGTGTCTGGGCTCAAAAAGATTTTATTTTGTGTTTTTAGATTAGATATATCCAACCTGTATTATATATGTTTGTCCCCAGGCAACACATTCAAATTCTTTTACTATTCTAGTTAGATCAGATATGAGTTTTTCTCTGATCTCTTTTGGCTTTCCTTTTCTAGCTGTACCATAGTGTCTGTTACAAGTTTTTCCTTTTTGTAAACAAAGTCTTCTTATGATAAGTAGTCCAGGGCTTACCTCAAATTGGAAACCCTACTGTCTCTGCTCCAGTGCTGGCATTATAGGTGTGTGCTATCACACTGGGCTTGATAGTTTACCTTAGATGGCATTTTATATCTCTACTTAGAATATTTAAATTTATTTTATTCTAGGAACTGATTCTTCTCACATGCACAGAATTAACTATCTTATATAATGACCTAAACACCTCTTTAGAAATCAATTATATAATAAACAAGTTACCATTTCATAATCTGTTTTTTTGTCTTTACGCATCTGGTTAATGGAAGTTAAATAACTTGGTGGAATGATAAGGTTTTTGAATTCTCCAAAATCACACTTTTCATTCTTTAAGCTGTTTTTCATGCACTCATCATGTACAGTTTTCTGACACCAGATGCACCTGAGGGAAGGAGGAAACCAAGGTATTAATTTTAAACTGTTACCTTACTCATCTAACCATTTTTTGGGTCATAAACATTAAAACAGTAATTCCATTACTACTAGGCATAAAATCTAGCAAACTAGATATGTACCTGTATGTACATAGTGAAAATAGAACTATAAAGGTTTGTATGTATTTGGCAGTTTAATCTAACAGTGGTTCTTAAGTGTGGAGTCAAGATCCTTTCTGTGGGGCTAAAATCTTTTTTTTTTCTCTCTGTCAGTCGTGCGGCTTGAACTCAGGGACTGCATGCTGTCCCCGAGCTCATTTGCTCAAGGCTAGTCCTCTACCATTTTGATCCACGGCTCCTCTTCCTGTTTTCAGGTGGTTAATTGGAGATAAGAGTCTCACAGACTTTCCTGCCTGGGCTGTCTTTGAACTTCGATCCTCAGATATCAGCCTCCAGAGTAGTTAGGAGTTCAGGCATGAGCCACCAGTGCCTGGCTAAAATCATCTATATAATACTAAGCCATTGTTTTACCCTCATCCTCCCAGAAGTATTCAGTGGTGTTTTCTGGAGGATATATGTCATGTGTTATTACAGAAGCAGATAGGAAAATTTAGCTGCTAAGCCAAAGCAATCTGTAAAAATGTACTAACTTTTCAGAAAACACATTTGTTACTTTAAAAATGAGAAATATTCTAACAGTTCTTAGTTCTAATTGCAATATGGTAAATAGACATAATCCATGTAAATAAAGGTGACCTAGAACAGTGGTTGTGTTAGTTGTAGTTTGCTTCAGATATGTTCATGAAATCTATAGTCCTTACTGCCTCAATGGTCCCTGGCCTGGGCCTTGAAAAGTTCTTTGGTCCAGCTTAGACATCTATAAATTTGTAAATATGAGTAAAGAAAGTAATCTATTTCTTTCTGGCAGTTGATATTAAAATTTTTTTTTCCTTTGAAATACAGGCAGCAGAACATGCACTTTCAGATTTGCCTCTGTGTGTGGTGTCACTGTTTGGGAACAGTGCTGGTAATGTCAGGGGATTCTATTATTAATCTGCTAAGTATTTAATCCACTTACCAGTGAGGCAGATCTGACCAGACAGACAAAAGCAGGTCACCAGAAAAGAGTGGTTATAATTACATTCTTTTTTTTTTTTTTTAAGTGGAAAAGCGCTGTTTTTGCTTAGATACTATCTTTGCTTTCTACTTTAAAGATATGTTTTTCCTTTGGATCCTCAGACAGGTCAAGTTGATTCAGAAGTGCTGTTTATTGCTAAAGAAAAAAGTGCTGTTTACTGCTATTAAAGTGAAAATTATGACATAACTTGGAAAAATAACATTTGTTGACACTTGCTTTCAAACTGATCTTGAAAAACTATAATAAAGTCTAATACCTTCATTTATTAGCCTACTATTAACTCTAAAGTATTAGATTGCACATCTTTTTCTCTAATTGCCACTAATACATTTATTTGTGGAAGATCAGGTCAAATCTTATTGTGAGCTTGTTAACTGGGTGGACTAAAGACTGCTCTGCCTAACTGGTAACTAGATCCCATACATACACAAGGCACCACCATCACAGAGACAAGCACTACACAAAGGGACTCGTTCTGGGGAGTCATGTGGATTCCCACTCAGAAGGTGCTGCCCTGTATCAGGACTTAGCTTCAGCCTCCTAACTTGGGTCTAGCAGCATGGTGGCCATGTGATAGGGGATCACACCTTAAAAATAGTCTTTATTGAATATAATCTGAATTATTTACAATGGTTTCCTCATCAAGGAAAGAAGGACTGATGAGAAGGGAAAATATCAACTTTTCACCCAATTCTTTTGCATTGCTTACATTTCAATTTACATTTCATATTTTACTTTTTTTTTGGGTTCGGTCATGGGGCCTGAACTCTGGGCCTGGACGCTGTCCCTCAGATCTTCAGCTCAAGGCTAGCGCTCTACCACTTGAGCCACAGCACCACTTCTGGCTTTTTTCTTTTTGCTTATGTGGTGCTGAGGAATTGAACCCAGGGCCTCATGCATGCAAGGCAAGCGCTCTACCACTGAGCCACCTTCCCAGCCCCTACATTTCATATTTTAAAACCCAGAATATGTTCATGAAATTCTTGAATAAAGCTTTAAAATTAAATTTTCAATAATACTTTGTGATGGTTAACAATTTTGAAACATAGAAAGGTATAAAATAAGAATCATCTAAAGCTAGAAGCTTAATTTTTCTCCGTTTCATGATTCACATAGTATCTTTCAGGTTAGGGACAAGATTTGGTTATTGCTTTTCTTCCTACATCATACCATGTTTGTTTTTTCTTTTTTAGAACTGGGGCCTTGAGCACATGAGGTAAGCGCTCTACCACTTGAATCACATGCTCAGCCCAATCATGAATATTTTCATACACTACTTTTTAAAAATATGATTTGTAAAGAATGGATATCATATCATGTAGACATACTATAAGTTATGTAAGCTATTTATTTTGGTGACTTGATTTTTTTGCCCAGGACTTTCCTCTGACTACAACACTACCTATAAGACTCGGGCTCTTGTGTAGCTGGGATTAAAGGAATAAGGTTAACGTATTTACTTATTTTTACTTGGGTTGGTCTCAAATCATGATCTTCATGATTCCCATGTCTTAAGAAGCTTGGATTAGGGGCTGGGAAGGTGGCTCAGTGGTAGAGCGCTTGCCTTGCATGCCTGAGGCCCTGGGTTCGATTCTCCAGCACCACATAAGCAAAAAGAAAAAAGCTGGAAGTGACGCTGGGGCTCAAGTGGTAGAGCGCTAGCCTTGAGCTGAAGAGCTGAGGGACAGTGCCCAGGCCCAGAGTTCAGGCCCCACGACCAGACCTCCCCCCCCAAAAAAAGTGCTAAATGCCAGAAACTTTGCCGGGCGCTGGTGGCTCACACCTGTAATCCTAGCTACTCAGGAGGCTGAGATCTGAGGATCACGGTTCAAAGCCAGCCCGGGCAAGAGAGACCGTGAGACTCCTATCTCCAATAAACCACCAGAAAACCGGAAGTGGCGCTGTAGCTCAAGTGGTAGAGCGCTTGCCTTGAGCTGAAGAGCTGAGGGACAGCGCCCAGGCCCAGAGTTCAAGCCCCACGACAAAAAAAAAAAAAAAAGAAGCTTGGATTACAGGTGTCAGCCACTGTACCTAGCCCCTTTTCTAATAACATTTATGTGTGTGTGTGCTGGTATTGGGGCCTGAACTCAGGCCTAGGCAATTCCCTAAGCTTTTTTGCTCTTCCACTTGAGCCAAAGCTATACTTCTGGCTTTTTGCTCATTGACTGGAGATTGAAGTCTCTTGAAGGCTGGCAGCTGGTGACTTACTCTTGTAATTCCAACTATTCAGGAGGCTGAGATCTGAAGACTGTAGGTCAAAGCCAGCCCAGGCAGGAAATCTGAGAATCTTATCTCCAATTAATCCCCAACAAATTGGAAGTGGAGATGTGGCTTGAAGTACTAGAGTGCTAGACTTGAGCAAAAGAACACAGGGACAGTGCCCAGGCCCTGAGTTCAAGCCCCACAACAACAAAGAAAAAAAAAAAGGAAACTTTAGTAAGTAAGAACCTTTCCTGGCAATGATAATTATTACTTTTTCTAAAAAGTTGTTTCTTTACAACAGCATGTGGTGATCAGCAATGCTGGTGATCAACCCAGGGCATTGTGCGTTCTAGGCAAGCACTTTAATTACACCCCTAAAATTTTCCCCTCTTACCATGTACTCACTATGCTGTGTAGGCTGCTAGCCTAGAACTCACTAGGTAGTCCATGCTGGCCTCTAACTCTATCCTCTTCCTCCTAAGTGCTTGCATTACAGGTGTGGGCCATTTAATCAAATACAGACACATAAAATCAAGTACATTTAACAACTGAATACAGAAATAGAAAATTCAAGATAAATCTGAAGCTAAAGTGGCCAATGTATTCTTTTAAGGCTTGGGCAAGAAGCTTTTGTGTTACTGATCACAGGGGTGAGTGTGTAGGTGGAATGAAGAAAAAGCTTGACAAAACATGTAACACTACATTTCCTTCCCTTACTGAGAGAGAATTTTACAGGGAGACAGATTTACTTAATGAGTATTTAAATTTAGCCTAATTCCTTATGTTGATCACAAGAGAGGTGCAAAGAACAAAGGGATGGCTAGGGCAGAGGTGATGGGTACCCGTAGAATTGTACCGTAGTGGTTGGGTAGACACAGGAACATACAAAAAGGAAACAAGTCTACGGAAGTAGATGCTAGCACAATGTCTGGCACAAAATAGATGCCCAACAAGTGCAACACCTTTGGCACTTTTTTCTGACAGAATTTAAAAGAATTTCAGAATCAGTCACCACCTGTCATCACCACCTTTGAAATACTAAGTTGTTGACCAGTCTCCAGAATTCAGCAACTTCTCTAAGAGTGAGGTACGGAGAAAGAGTCTGTGCCAAGGCTGGACAAAACCCAAGAGGGATAGTCTGGTTTGTGTGCAAAGGATCTGAACAGTGATGTTTTGCTTCTCTCTCCAAAATATCTCCTTTCTACGGCAGACTATAATTCTGATGAAATTACAATGCATCATAATGAAATCATGGGCTAAAATAAACCAGTTCAGAACATTGTAGAATATGTACAACTTCAGAACAGTGTGCTCTGTTCTCCTGAAAATAAACACTTCCTAAATTATATGAAGACTATTTTACCATGGGTGAGTGGTGTAGCATGCTGGGAACAGATTGCTCAGTAACCTGTAAGAGCACATTAATGAGGACAAGGTGACCTGACCTATCATTACAAATACCTACTGTGCTCAATCCAGTGCACTAAAAAGATAGAGGTTCATGTTTTTGTTTTTTTTTTAAAGATTGACATAGCCATGGTTCCTAATGTTAGAATTACCTGTGAGACCTGTTAAGACAAAGATTGCTTATCTCTAGTCCAGGCTTCTGATTCAGTAGGTATGGAATGGGGCTAGGTAAAAGCAGGAAGCCCAGGAAAATGTGTTTCAGGAAAAATACATTTTTTGCGGGCAGACATCTTAAATATTACAAACATTTTATTTTTCACTTCCAACAGATTCAGGGACCTTACTTTGAAACCCCAAAGATACAAATTATTAAGTCATCATCAGGAAAAATTTTGTGGGGAAAGGAAGATGAGTAAACCAGGTAAGGGGTCCTAGAAGAACGCTAACAGCTCTTAAGGGTACTCAGGCACTAGCTAGGAAGATGCTAAGAGAGGAAAGCTTTGTGAAAAAGAAGAGTGTAAGAAACGGCCTGATATTTTAAGGAAACTACAACCAGGTGTTGCTGGTATGTACTGGTGCATGCAGGTAGTGCCAAGTGAGCCTAGAAAAGCACCAAGGCAAAGAGCACTGAGGTCTGGAATGCTGTGTTAGCACTTGGAACCTATACATTAGGTCACTGCTGTGAGTGATGAGGAACACTGAAAAGGTTTTAGGCAGCGCAGGGATTTGCCTACATTGCAATTTTAAATGATCTGGAATCAAAAGCACTTAGGTTATCTGTGAAGGAATATCTGCAGCACAATTAAAGTATTCATGGAAGGTTTTTTTTTTGGGGGGGGGGAATGGCACAGGAATAATCAGTTTCATGCAAGCCATTTTTCCCTCAGTCCTAGGGGTTGAATTCAGGGCCTGGATGCTGTCCCAAAGCTTCTTTTACTCAAGGTGAGCGGTCTACCATTTGAGCCAGATCATCACTACCAACTTTTTCTTAGTTTATTAGAGATAAAAATCTTATGAACTTTTCTGGCTTCGAATTGAGATCCTTAGATCTCAGCCTCCTGCATAGCTAGGATTACAGGTGTGAGCCAACTGTGCCTGGCCCATGGAGCCATTTTTATCTCATTCTGCACACAGAGAAGGGAAGAAAATATACCAATAGTAAATTCAAGATATTGGTCACTGTTTGCAGCACTCACCAAAGACAATAAGGCCACAAAGAATTTTACAGTATAAAAATTTACTGTATAAAAATGAACAGCTTGCTGGGTACTCGTGACTCAAACCTGTAATCCTAGCTACCAGAAGGCTAAGATATGAGGATTGAGGTTTGAGGCTAGCCCAGGCAGGAAAGTCTGTGAGACTCTTATCTCCAATTAACTACCAAAAAAGCTGAAAGTGAAGCAGTGGCTCAAGTGATAGAGTGCTAGTCTTGAGCAAAAAAAGCTCAGAGACAGCACTGTGGGCCCTGAGTTCCAGCCCCAGGACTTGTGTACACACACACACTAATGTCATGCAAAAAATAAAGAACAAAAGTAGCTGCCCAAACAGTGCCAGTTTTCTACTTTAGCTCTTAAGTATGTTTATGGGTCTTTCCACTCATCATAAATAAAAACCTATGACAAGGAAGATGTCCAGACTTAAGGCAAAGAGGAGGCTAGGTATTAATGTTTCTAATCCTATTCTGGGTGTTAGAAATCCTGGAAGCCAATTCTACTTTACCTTCAGTTTTCTCAATGTGAAATGAGTTAAGATCAATAATTTGCAAAGCACCACTGCTTGTTACCAATCTCTAACAACCAAAGGATATCAACACTGATTTCAGACAGTAATTCACATCACAAATATGCTGTTTGGTATATAAAGATTATGTGTATAAAGAAGCCACAAATATTTTTGGCTTAATCAAGTTCCCTTATCTAAGATACTATAGTTCTGGAAGATCATGTCATAGGAACTATTCCTAGAGCTGGGAAGGTGGCTCAGTGGTAGAGCGCTTGCCTTGCATGCCTGAGGCCCTGGGTTCCATTCCTCAGCACCACATAAGCAAAAAGAAAAAAGCCGGAAGTGGCCTTGTGGCTCAAGTGGTAGAGCGCTAGCCTCGAGCTGAAGAGCTGAGGGACAGTGTCCAGGCCCAGAGTTCAGGCCCCACAACCGGACCCAAAAAAAAAAAAAGGAACTATTCCTCTCAGGCTGCTTTTTGGGTGTATTTCACTATGCCACCAATATTAGCAAAAGACATTTGAAAACATGCTGCAATAACACTTGTCTGTGGCTGAAAGTTAAAGTGCTTCATTTTTCCTTATGTAAACTGAAGAAATCATGGCCACAAATCAAGCAGATCTTAAGCTACCCGAACATGAAAGAACCACATTTTTTTTTTTTTTTTAACATTTTGGCTAGAGTAGAGATCACTTGCATCATCTCTGCATTTTTTTTTTGCCGGTCCTTGGGTTTGAATTTCAGGGAATAGGCACTGTCCCTGTGCTTTTTTTTTTTTTTTTTCTCAAGACTAGTAGTACTCTCTACCCCTTGAGCCACAGCTCCACTTCTGGAGATAAGGAGTCTCATGGACTTTCCTGCCCAGGCTGGCTTCAAAACACGATCCTCAGGTTATCAGCCTCCTTGGGGTAGCTAGGATTACAGGCATCAGCCACCGGCGCCCGGCTTCATCTCTGCAACTTTGCAGAGCTGCAAGTATCAGGAGTGTAAGGCACAGCATCAGGGAGGTGAAGTGCGGGCCTCGCGCCATTTGTGCCAAGAGGAGCTCAGGTCTACCAGGCAATCGCGACGCAGCGCCCGCGCCGGGGCATACACACCTGTAATCGCAGAGCTTGGGCTGACAGCCGCATTGCTGCTTGCAGAGCACACAGTAACTGCACAGGGGCACGTTGCCGCGGATCCAGTGGTGGGGCATGGCGGCGTCGGGGCCGCCGCCGTCGCTCTTGAGCATGATCTCCTTGCAGGCGAAGCGCTTGTCCGCCTTCTTGAGGCAGGCCTCGTCCACGCGGAGCCCGCAGCAGTCGCAGAAGGCGCCCTGCAGGATGTGCTGCGCGCAGACGCAGCAGTAGGTGGGCTGGCTGAACAGGTCCGTGTCGCGCCACCCGTGCTGGCTCCGGCGGAAGATGTCCCGGCGGTGCAGCTGCCGGCGCGAGCGCTGGAGGCTGCACCAGAACGTGATGAACACCGGCAGCAGCACCGAGCACAGCGTCCACAGCACCAGGTGTCCGTCGGCCAGCAGGCTGCCGGCGGGCGGGCCCGGCGCGGGCCGTCTCTCCCCGTCCATCCTCGCCGGTCCCCGGTCTGACTAGGAGAGAGCAGGCCGGGTCCATCGGGGCGCGCCCTCCCGGCCACCCCGCGTCCAGCCCGCGTTCGGGCCGCCCCGCCCTCCTCGCCCCGCGGGTCTCCCGAGCGCGTTCGGGAAGCGGACGCCACCGCCTCGCTCGAGCCCGGGGGAGAGCGCAACAAGCATTCGCCGGCGCCCGCCACGCACGGGCAGGGTGACCGCGTCCGTAACGGCCGGCCAGCGCTCGCGAGGGTCCCTCTCGCGAGGTCTCCGACCCGCACCTTCACCCCCCGTACGCCCCCGGGAACATACCTCGGGCCTAGGCCTCGGGCCGCCGTCCCGCCTGGGCGACGCACAGCCCAACGCTGGGGCTGCGTAGGGTGATGAGGACGCGCTGGCGGAGCGCACGAGCGCAGCCGGCACGCACGTCACCGGCCGACCGGCGCGGCTGAGGCGGAGCCTGCGGCGATGCATCCCGCGGCTGGGCGGGGCCTGCGGCGGCGCACCCCACGGCTGGGCGGGGCCTATAGTAGCGCACCCTGAGGATGGGCGGGGCCTGCGGGGGTGCACCCCACGATGGGCGGGGCCTATGGTAGCGCACCCTGAGGATGGGCGGGGCCTGCGGGGGCGCACCCCACGATGGGCGGGGTCTGTAGCCGCGCAACCCATGGATGGGCAGGGCCTGAGGTGGCGTACCACCCCATGATGGGCGGGGCCATGGCTAGGGCGGGGCCTGTAGCTACGATGAGCAGGGTCATATTAAGGTCAGGACTTGAAGCAGCGCACACAACTGTGGACAGGACGTGGCCTGTAGTGGTGTGTCCCACGCTAGGCGGGACCTGGTGGGGCGGGGCCTGCAGCTAAGCGCACGGTGACTGGGCAGGGCCAGAGCTGAGGCGTGGCTTCAGAAAGCAGTAAGGCCTGAAGGTCTGGGGCGGGATTCCGTGGAGGTGGGGGCGTGGTTAAGGGAAACGGGGGCGGAGCAAAGGAGGATGCAGGGATTTGAGCCCCATAAGTAAATTGGTCATCGTGGAAAATTCTATGGGAATGACAGCACATGCAGAGCCTCCTCCAGAGGAAAGGTCGATCTTCCCCTGCGGAGGAAGCACAGATCTCATCAGCTGAGTCGTCCTGAAAAACAAATCCAGATGCACATCTGTACCAGGTGCACATCTGTACCAGGTGCACATCTGTACCAGGTGCACATCTTTGCTAGGTGCACATCTGTGCCAGGTGCACCTGTCAGTCTGCTCAGACTGGCTTCTTCAGCTCGCGAATACACATTCGGAGCTCGTCTCTGTCTTTCCATGTGTTGGAAGCTCATTTCTTTTTAGTGCTAAGTGATGTCCTATGGGCTGAACGTACCGCCGTTTATCCATTCAGCTCTGGAAGGACGTCTTGACTGCTTCAAAGTTTTGAAATAAATACTTGCAAATAAAGGTGTGAACAGCTGTGTGGAGGTGTTCATGCACACACACGTTGTCAACTCATTTGGATAACTGCTCTCTCTATCGCTGTCGTGCAGGGCCTGGGCACTGTCCCTGTGCTTTTGTGCGCAAGGCTAAGCTCTCTTCCACCCTGAGCCACAGCTCTACTTCCAGCTTTTTTTTTTTTTTTTGTGATTAATTGCAGACAAGGATCTCATGGACTTCCCTGACCAGGCTGGCTTTGAACTGTTATCCTCAGATTTCTGCCTTCAGAGAGGCTAGGATTACAGGTGTGAGCCAGTTACCACCAGTGCCCAGCTAAATTGCCCCTCCCTCTTTTTTGTGCCAGTGCAGGGGATGCTCATGGTTGGTACACTACCACTTGAGGCATACCACCCCAGTCTAACATTTTACTGGTTAATTTAAGATAGAATTTCTTAGGCTTTTCCTGCCCTGACTGGTTTGAACCGAGGTCCTCCAGCTATCAGCCTCCTGAGAACTTGGATTACAAGCATGAGGCTTGAGATAGGGTCTTGTTCTGTACTTCAGACTGGCCTTGAACCCAGAGTCCTCCTACCACAGCCTCTTGACTGCTGGGATTACAGGTGTGCATATGCCCCAAGTTCGTGCTTTCTTTTTAAAAAAATTGTCTTACCTTCGATGTTAGAGAATTCTGAGATGTCTGGTGAAATTCCAGGTGGTCCTTAATACTCTGTGAGGTTCGAGAACCCCTTTGGAACGGGTCCCTTGATGTCCCTGAAGTTTTCTCAGCCTGGCTGATAATCACAGAGAAAAACACTCGTATTTCACTATTTTTTCCCAGGACCAGCATGGTCTCTTCCAATTAAAGCCCTGTGCTTTTCCTGAAGGAAGCATAAACTGACAGCAGCCTTGGAAGAGGCTGAACAAATTTATTCCACCCATGTCCTGCTGCCCTCCTACAGCCATTGTCCCCTGTCCCACATTCCTGCCTCTCTGCCAATGCTTCTTGTTTTGGTTGGACAGTAGCTGGCTCTGCCTTGTGAGAGGGATGGTGGCTGACCTCAGATGTCCTCACCTGCTGGGCAGTCAAGGCCAATGTCTTGGGCCTGAGGAGAAATGAAAGCCCATTTGTGGAAGCTGGAAGGGCCCTTGTGTGAACCAGGCCACCTTCGTATTGTTCTTGTTCCGCTGCTCAAAACAGGAAGGGCGTGTGAAGGAATGTTGATGGCAGGAAGGGGAGCCCGGGACAGCAGAGCGGATGCCCACAGACCCAGCCACACTTTCCCATCTACTGAAGATGTGCTTGTATTTCTACAGCATGTAAAGTTGTATATCTTAATACGTGCATGATTAATCTGGGTATTTTTGTATATTTGGTCCTTTATTAAAATTTAATTTTGTTGTAAAGGTCATGGACAGAGGGTTTACAGTTACATAGTAGTGAGTACTTTTCTTGTCAAACATTGTCACCCCTCCCTCGTTTTTCTCCCAATTTCCCTCTCTCCTGACTAGCCCCTCTCCCCTCCATGTTGTAGAGTGAATTTCCAATTTAGCGTTTTGTAAGTGTCGCTGTTGCATTGGTTCACCCTTTGTCCTTTGTTTCACTATTTTGTTATTCCCTTTCCCTTCCCCAAATCACATAAATGCATATACAAGACACAAGGTACCAGAATCAAACACAGTGACTACAGGGGATAAACCAAAGGGAAAAAGAGAAAAAAAAGAAGGGGGGGAAAAAAAAGAACTTCAATACAGTACATCAAAAAACATCATCAAGCCCGGCGCAGGTGGCTCACGCCTGTAATCCTAGCTACTCAGGAGGCCGAGATCTGAGGATTGTGGTTCAAAGCCAGCCTCAGCAGGAAAGTCCATGAGACTCTTATCACCAATAAACCACTCAGAAAACTGGAAGTGGCACTGTGGCTCAAGAAGTAGAGTGCCAGCCTTGAGCTAAAGAGCTGAGGGACAGTCCCCAGGCCCAGAGTTCAAGCCCCATGACCAACAAAAACAAAAAACAAAAATCATCATCATCATCATGAACAACAACAAAAACACCTTATATTTGGTCCTTTGAAATGGTTTTGTGGACTTTCTATCATGTGTCTGAGGGTGGGAGAAGGACGTAAATACAATTCAGGTTAATTTCAGATAGAGATGGACCAACAATGATAGACATAGGGCTCCCTCCCTCCTTTCCTCCTCTTTTCCCTCCTTCCTTCTGCTTCCCCTCCCTTCCTTTCCCCTCTCCTCCTCTTTCTCTTTCTTCCTACTCCCTCTTCCCTCTCCCTAATCCCCCCTTCACCCCCTCCTCCCACTTTCTGCAAGTGTCTTATTATGTAATCCAGGGTGGCCTTGAACTCTTGCTCCTCCTGCCCCCATTTTCTCAGTGTTGGGATTGCTACACCTGGCTAATCTCAGGTCTATTGATGATGCTATGATCAGTATAGTCCATTACCTACATAGTACACATGAATTTGATTTTGAATAGACATTCTTACGGGACCCTATACTTACGATAATTATTATCATTAGGATTTTATTAATAATTTTGACAAAGGAACAATCCTAACCATCCTGTTAAAATCTCTTGTAGGGTGATATTGTCCAAAAAGAATTGTACTCATTACTTGACATATGTAATTGTAACTCTTCTGTATATCACCTTTATAATGACAATAAAAACTCTTGTATTGATGGGCATTGTGGTACATGCTTGTAATTCCAGTACCTAGAAGGCTGAATCAGAAGAGTGAAGAGTTTGAGGTCAGCCCTGTAAATATCTAGTAAGTTCCATGCCAGCCTGGGCTATAAAATGAGACCTCTGTCATAACCAGCCAACCAAACAAGCAACCAAACAAAATCTCGTGTATCAGTTAGTTACTGTCAGGGTAATGCTGTATAACAAACCACTCCTAAACACTGTGGGTTGCAGTAACAATCTTTTTTTTTTTTTTTGGTCAGTCGTGGGGCTTGAACTCTGGGCTTGGGTGCTGTCCCTGCGCTCTTCAGCTCAAGGCAAGCACGCTACTGCTTGAGCCACAATGCCATTTCCAGCAGTAACAATCATTTATGTCATGACTTCCATCTTCCCATTGCTTAGAACAGGTCACTTGGTTAAGTCAGAAAATGCAGGTGGTTGCTTTCACTGTATTTGATGTTGGTATAATTTGTGGAGGGGAAGGGCAAAAAACAAATCGTTTAACTAGGGATACAGGTGGACCCATTGCAACAATGAGATGTACAAGACATTATGTCGAAAAATGAACTTTACAACTTTGGTTGGGGGGGGGTTGGGGGGGGGGGACGTGGGGGGAGTATGGGAAGGGATGGGAAGGGGAAACCAAGAGGAGGCAACAATGCTTGATAACAAATGTACTCGTTACCTTGACTATGTAATTGTAACTCCTCTGTATGGTATTCTCACAATAAAAAAACAAAAACAAAAACATGTTTTTCATTATCTTCTAATTATTTGAAAAAAAGAAAAAAGAAAATGCAGGTGGTAAAGAATTTATGAGAACCAACCTAATGCATCTGCCCTAGTCTCCATCTGCCTGCACTGTGGATGTGTCAATGAGTGTGTGTATTTGTGTATGTACAGCTTTGTGGGGGGGGGGGGGTTGCTAGCACTACTTGAAAGAAGTATAAAAGAAGCTGGGTGTAGTGGCTCAAGCCTGCAATCCTAGCTATTTGAGGAGGAGATCGAGTCCAACTGGGTATAAACATTTATGAGACTCCATCTCCACCAATGGTTGGGTGTGGTGATGCATGCCTGTTATCACAGCAATGGGAGAAGCACAGTGGCTGGGCCCAGTGACATAGGGAAAGACAAGTATGCCCAGGCCAGCTTGAGCATCAAGTGAGACTCTACCTTTGAAATTAACCAAGGCAAAAACAGGCAGGAGGCATGGCTCAAGTGGTAAGTGCCTGCCTAGCAAGCTCAAGGCCCTGAGTACAATGATTATTTTTTAAATTTTTTATTATCTTTAAGTGGTCGTACAAAGAA